CCTAGGTCTCTAGAGAAATATAAAATGGTCATGTACAGTAAGCCCGTGCCCCACAAATGTTCTTTTTTTTGTAAAGAAAAAACTGAGCAGTGACCTGACCCGAAACTATCAGAGGAAGAAAAGCAACATTAGCTCAAGCCTGAGCAGCAAGAAAAATATGACTCCGTTTGCCAGATAAAATAGGAACTATCTGCAGCTGGATTACCTCTGTGTCAGTCACAAAGGGTCAGTCTACTCATCACATGACCGAGTCTCTCCACTTCAACTAAGTCCCATTGTCCTAATTAAGCCAGCTCTTTTCTGATTCATAAAATGCCATTTCACAGAAAAGTGCATCACTTCATTACTACTTCGTTACTACTTAGTGTAACATAAAAGAAGTTACACTTAACTAATGTAAAAACAATTTCCTAATTAAAAGGTAACTTAATGTTCTAAGTGTGATTTTTAAGATGCTGGAACAACCCAAGATTCAGAATATATTTGTAATAACCACAAACATGATTATATGAATTTTTCTTAAGGTCCTCTCTGCAACCGAAGAGAATCATCCCCTTGAATCCGATCCTTTACCCCTAATGGGTCTTCAGAATTTCTAAATCACTTAGTTTTTGTGGATGCACAACAACAACCCAGCACAAGGCACTGTGGGCATCAGCGAATGAATGAGTGAATGAATGAAATGAAAGGGCACATCCCACTACTGAGTGTGGCATTCCTTCAGGACAAGAGACAGAACACTGCAGCCAACAGCCCTAAGGGTTCCAGGCCCACATCGATGAGCTCTTACGGGGCCTTCTGCAAATCACCTCAGTCTTTTCGAATGGGATTCAGAATGTTAACTGTCGCTCAGGCATCACAGAGTTCTTCTGGAACATAGAGATCTATAAAATGCATCATGATCTTCGAGAAATAGATCACAAAAGTTTGAACGCTGTTTACCAGCAGCGTACAAGAGAAGTCATGAGATGCAACTTGATGATCCGTTTTGGTTATTGAAGACTCAGGACACTTCAATGGTAATGACAAAACCACTCATGACAGAATAAAGACAAATGACTTCTGTATCTTAGGAGTCTACAGCAACTCGGGCCTGCAGATCAGTATCTGGCAGTGGACATTTAAAATCATTTTATTGGTACTGAACCTCGTATAAATTTTTTTTTTTAAAGATTTATTTATTTGAGAGAGAGAGAATGAGAGATAGAGAGCACGAGAGGGAAGAGGGTCAGAGGGAGAAGCAGACTCCCCGCTGAGCAGGAAGCCCGATGCGGGACTCGATGCCGGGACTCCAGGATCATGACCTGAGCCGAAGGCAGTCGCTTAACCAACTGAGCCACCCAGGCGCCCACCTCGTATAAATTCTAAAATTTGTAAGACGTTAAGAGAACACAGTTAACATGATGTGACATAAATACAGGCAGATGCTAGAAATCCATTTTCTTTCTTCCCTGAAACCCAGCTACAGAGGATGTGGAAATATATTTTTTTTATCAAGGAGATAATCTGTTTTATCAATAGCTAGGAAGCCATTTTTGTAAATTGTCTGTCAGCTGAAAAAACAATACACTACTTACATCATATTGGAAAAGGAATGACCTCAAGATTTCCAAGCAACACAGCTATTTTTCACATCTGAACTCCCCTGCTGATCATCAAGAATCGTTTCAAATGTCTCACTCTTGGCCTTCAGTTGTGCCAAAGCCTGGACAAGTCCGCAACAAAGTGAGCTGCAAAATACTGCACACTTCTGCATGGGGTGCTCAATCTCAATCATCTGGCCTCCCTTTCCCTTAGTACACCATCACTCATAGTAGTGTGAAGTCTCTCCTGAATCAAGCTGTGTTTATATTACATAAGGGAAGTGTGAAATCAGAATTGTCTTGCTTCTCTCTCCTGCAGGCTAATAAACTCCCTCCAATTCATCGTTCTACTGTTCTGTGCTTAGAAACGCTGTGGTCCAAACTCTGTGCTCAGTCAAGGTGTGGCAGGCATGAGGCAAAGGTGAAATTGGCCTAAAAAGGGCCAGGGCTCACTCAACACACTGCAGGATGCCATCGTTTTCTGTTGTGGGTGTATGAGGGATGCAGCGAAAACTGCGATTTGGGGAGGGGGCAAGAACTGCCTTCTCTGATCTAAAATGGTGCTGTTTTCTCTATCATGCTCTCGACGCAATTCCCAATGATCTAAAATGCCGACGAAGGAAAGGGAGTTCTTCGCCTCTTTTCAACCGAACAGCCTGAAATACTAAAAAGCTAAAGGCAGACTAGAAATAAAACACAATTCTGATAGGTTTTAAACCAGATTTAAGTTTTTTTTTTTAATTCAAATTGACCCAAAGCAAAACTTACATTACAAAGGAAGAACAAAATACATTATGATATAACACACTAGGAGTTACATGAAAGCTAAATTTGTGGGCAAAGGGCCTCATCCCAATCACATTCTGGGCTAATGAGCGACTCTGCAGGAAAAGTTAGAATCTCTATTTGTGTATGGTCCACTCTGGTAATGAAACTATACATTCTTGTCTCTTAGGGTGCGCATCTGACAAATCACTCTAGACTCCTCATGCTCCAGATGTGTACTCTTGCCACTGCCAGAACAATGAATTCTCTAGCGGAAATGCTGTTCCAAGCATTACGGATAATGAATTAAAAAAAACCAAAACAGTCAAGTCCTCCAAACTAACAAGCGTGGGTTATTTTGTAGTAAATAGTTTAGAAATATGGGAATTAAATAATCTAAAAAACACTCTTAACTCTGCTGTACATTTATAAACACAAATATTTACACACAAAAAAAATCTTCTGTTTTCAAAAGATGAGGTTTGCAGTTCATTAATGATCATAATCTTTTGCGAGCTGGTTTCTTTGGTGTACTTGCCAAATATACTTTCATAAAGGTTTAGTAATAGGCTTAAACAATAAATTTCAAAAGGTACATGGAAGGGTCAGCAACAAATCTGATGATATTCGGAACGTTTCAGTGAAGATTCTGGAAAAACCAATCAGTCGATTTTTGGAAAATAACTTGTCCTCTCTACTCGTTACGTGACCACCGAATGCGTCTCTGCCAATTAAATTCAAATGCGGACCTGCACATTGATCCCTATGTTCTACCGGTTATCACCTTTGAGACTAAAATTTTAGTTTTGGTTAAACAGGATATGTGATTGGGATTTTACTAACAAAAATAAAACATTCTTTTTAAGTTTCCAGGTAAATCACACCTCCAACAATAAATAATGGAATTATACACTTCTTCATTAAATAGAAATTTCAATTCCAAGGAAGAGCTCTCATAATTTTTTTTTCCCGAAGTCGCAGCAGCAATGCAGAACAAAGAATTTACCTTAATCTGATCTTTTTACTTGGAACTCCCTGACTCAAACTCAGTGGCTAACTTAGTTTGGAAACCTCTGAATGGCTGGGGAAAGAAAGTCATTTTCATCTACCTGAATAAATGAATACACACGTTTTGAGGAATTAAGCCCTGTGTGAAGGTAACATTACTAGCACTGCTCCGAGTACAGGGTCCCGGGCGCCCGCCCTCCCAGCTCCTTGTCTCCCCGGGCCTGGGGTTTGACGGGGAAGTAACACTCAATACATTTCTGGCCATGCCACGTTCCTGACACTGCAAGTATGTCTCACTTCTGACTTGGGTACTGGTAGAAAGGATGAGAACACAGCTCAGCTGCATGAGGGACTCTCTATCGGAAGATGACATTCTGGAGATGGGAGACCACCCATTTCAACCCATCAGGCTCCGGTTAGTCTTGGAATGGTTACCAAATTGGCCACACTGTTACTGGCTCCCTGCAAAAGAGTCTATGTACCCCATCAGCAATCCCCCTGAATCATTCTTTTTCCAGAGCTGCCCGTTCTTCAGGCACCTGGGCACTGCCTAGGCACGAGCAGATCCAATATACCAATGCCAAAGCTACTCGGCATCCTAGGGAACTGATTCTGTGCTTGAGAGATAGATATCCCTGCTGGCTCTCTAAAAAAAGGTAAAGCCAGAGTAGATGCTCAATTCTGCTTAGTTATACTTTCCAGGTGAAGTAGTTTTATACTTAATGACTCAAAACTAGAAATTCAGACAAAAGAAGCCCTTTATCTTGTAAACGTCTGATAACAAATTTATTTCTAGCGCATAAATATTTTGAAATCGCCCAAAGCACTGAGAACAATACTGGGATATTTGAAAAGGTTCTTCTGAAACTAAAATGATGGCATGTTAATAAGCACAGAACACATTTCCGAGGGCATCAGCGTAGATCCCTAATGTCTCTGGAACCTTTCCCACTGTTACTGACACTTTATCTTAACTGTGTTTACACTGCAAACATATGCCCAATCAACCCAGAAGATAAAATAACCATCCAGAAGAGTTTCACTGTGCATAACCTTAAAATAGATAGGAAGTGTTGAATTAGCCTATTAGGAATTAACCAGACTTACAAATGTGCACCCATTAGAAATTGTACCCTTTAGAAATTTTTTTTAACTGGGAAGAAGGAAAAAAAAAACCAAAAAACACCATGAAACCACCCCCAAATTATTTAACTGTTAAAGCCAAATGGCTTAACAATATTTTGGGTTATTTTTAGGGAAGACTCTACCACCAGGATATGAAATTTTCTGCTTAAAGTGAAGTAAAAGACAAAGCTTACAATGGAAATGGCACCTGACATCCTATGGTTCTGCAATTAAAATTAAAGTGGCGGTTCCTGTTCTCACGGGCATGTCAAAGCTGGCTGTGGAATGAGAAACATTGAGTGAAATAATGGATAAAATACACCAGAAAGAGTATTGCACGGGAGGCACTGTTTTAAAAACAGAATACACTGGCTTTATAAAGTTATTTTTGTTTCCATTAATTGTTTTAAAAGCACGATTCAACGAGAGACAGAAGTTGAGACCCAATGTCTCTGGGTAGTGTACTACAGTTGTTAAAAAAAATAAGTTAAAAACAAGAGCACACCAACAGGAAAGCAGAGGTACTGGATTTATGTCATCCAAGAGCTACATTAATTAGGAAAGGAACAGTTTCAAACAGCCAATTTGTACTCATTAAAAATGAATGAGGTGACAGAGTTACTTTAAAAATTTCTTAGGGCTTTTTCCAGTAGAACCCAGGACCCCCCCGGGTGAAACTGTGCCTCCAAACCTTAACAAGTGCTCTGCTGGTTTATAATGTCGTGCACGCCCATGAAACCATACATTTGGAAAGGGGAAATTCTCCACTCCAACGCTGCTTGTGTTGTTTTGGAAAAACAATTTTCGTAAATGCAATATTGTATAGAAAGCTTGGACCTCTTAAACTTGGACCAAGAAACCAAATTAAGACCTTCAAGCATGTGGTGTGTGTGTGTGTGTGTGTTTATATATATAAAAAAAAAATCCCTCCCCTACCATGAAAACCAAACAAACAAACAATCAAAAAACCTAAAAGTGTATACCTGCTTTCTGACTTCACAGCAAATCAGAAATTGCATAGGATATACTTTGTGCAAGGCAAAAAGCCTTTTAAGTATCTGGAATATAACTCCTAATCTTGCTCACAGTTCTGTGTACATCAGATATCATCGAATTTGTGTTTTAAGTAGTCTTTCATGACCTTGGCAATTGGTAGTTCATCAAGTAGCTTTAGGTTTTGAAGGCCTATACATTGTCGAATTTTAATTCGGCACAGGTCCTGCAAGTTTCTGGGCTGTCCTAAAAAGACAGAAAAAAGAAACAGTTACAAAGCTACAGAGTACAATATTTAAGGCAGGCTTTTCAGTTCTGAAAAGAATTATTTGTTTCACCGGGACGTGTCTCTCTATGGACTTCACATGCAAAGGACCAGACAGACTTACTGAGAGGACGTGCCCTGGGGACCTTCATGTGAGGTCTCATCTGATGCTTTTCACAACCCTGGGATGATGGATATTTTCACCTCCATGTGACAAATAAGGACTCAAGGGATCAGGGATTTGAGCAAATTGCTCAATGTCAGATGACCAATTAAAGCTTTTTGGACAGAGACTAAAACCAGTTTTTCTGAGTCTAAGCCTGGTATTCTTTTCATTGTAAATCAGAATGCCTGTTTTCATCCTGGGATGCCTCTAATATGCTGAGTGAACCTGGGCGAGCAAATCAAAGTTTCTCTGTCTGAAAAGTGGGAGAACCGAATGAGAAGCTGTCTAATGTGGCCCCTCCTTCAGCTCACCACTGAGGACACTGGAGCCTAGACATGTAGAATGATCTCCAGGGAGCTTTCCCAAGCGACATCTGCCCACCTGTTCACCATGATTCTGGACAGAGCAGACCCTTGGCTATGGGTACGAGGGCATAGACTGGGGGGGCAGGGAGCCAGGCAGAAAAAACACCCCAAACTATTCTGAATCTACGTGTCTTCAAACCTCACACCCTTACCGTGTGCCAATAAAAACCACTGCTGTAACTCAACTCAGAATTACAAAATTCAATTTCATTCACTTCTGAATATCGTATTTTACCAGAACGATTCAGATGACCTCAAACGCAAGCAAGAATTCTGAGCAACAGTGCCTCAGTTATAGCTGGACTCACATAAATTTTGCTCTCATATTAAATGGTAACAAACAGCAAAAGCTAACATGTTGAGTGCTTACTCCATGCCATGGGTCCTTATAAGCTCTCAACACACACTAACTCGTTTCATCCTTTTATGAGGGAAGCACTACTTTGATCATCATCCCCATCTTACAGACTCCTTGCGTCTCAGAGAGATTAAGTAACATGCTCAAAGTCAAGTAGAATGCCATACCTCAGCGAATCTCAAACTTCCTGGTCTCAAAACCTCTTTGCATTTTTTAAATATATCAAGGACCCGAAAGAACTTCCATTTATGTGGGTTATATCTATCAATAATTACCGTATTAGAAGTTAAAGTGAATTTTAGAAATACTTATTCATTAAAAAAATAAAATAAAAATAAACCCATTACATGTGGCCACAGACAACATTGGTACAAAAAAACAGTATTTTAAAAAACAGTAATAAGAATGACATTCTTTCACATTTTTGCAAAGTTCTTAAAGGGTTGGCTTAACAGAGGACAGCTGAGTTCTCATATATGCTTCTACATTCAATCTGCTGTGATAAAGTCATCTCGTCTCTGGACAAGTCCACTTATGCTCATGAAAGAAGGAACATGAAAAAGGCAGATCATGTCTTGGTATTATGAAAATCGTTTTGACCTCAGATAGGGGAAAGGGTCTTGTGGACCTCCAGGAGTCCCCAAGCCATACATGGAGAACAATTGCTATAAACTAGTACTTTACCCCTTACTTGAACTGCCCTTGTTTATAGTGATCGCCATTATTCAAAATTAAGTAATTCTTCATAAATGAAAAAGGCTCCTTAAACCTCTCTGCAAGGGCCTGTGTGAACATGTGCTTTCCAAGAGTTACTTAACACACGGTCTTCTCTGAACAAAATTGCAGAAGCTACTGCTTTCCTGGAAACGCCTGTAAACTGGGGCGTGTGTATCTACGGATACCTGCACGCAGATCAGTGTGAGGCTGTGATACGCTCACGCGTCTCTCGCCAAGATGTGTCTTCTCCATTTTCCAGATCTCTGCTCAGAAGCATCTTCATTAGGGGTGACAAAGGTTCCCCATCAGATACTTCAGAGTTCCTTTCTACTACAGCACTTAATAAGGCTGTGATTTTACATTTATTTGGTGATTCTCTACTAATGTCCACCTTCTTCACTATCTGACATGTTCCATGAGGGCAAGACCACATCTGGCTGCCAATGTGGCCCAACACCTGACACGATACTCAGTAAAAACTAGCTGAATGAATTAATACTTAACAGGCTTGTCCATAAGGGACAAACCAGTCAACTCATTGCAAAACCCACCCATGTCAACGGCAAATCATTTTCTAACCTGTTTTGAATTATTTTTCACCACCCTTCATGGGCTACCATTAGGAAGGGAAAAAATTATCATTGTCATTTTTTGATAAGCGCTTACAGTATTTGATCTGCAAATGCAAACCAGAATATGAATTAGATATGAACCTTCTTTTTTCAGAGTAAAGAATCTGATTTTCCTAATAGATGGCAGGTTCTTTTCAAATGTAATATTAACAAAAAGAACAAGCACAATGTATTCAGGCAAAAAACAGGTGAGGATAAGGCTGACATGTAAAAACTATATGCACACTTAAATGGAAACATATCATCCAACAAAGTAGAAAACCTGTATTATTGGGATTTGCTTAGCTAAAGGGAAAAAAGAAGGGATCGAGACAAAGGGTTATGTAAGGGGGATCTTCTGATAGTCCTATTTTGTGTCAGACTGTGCTCTCCAAAAATAACCACAACATCACCTATGCCTCATGTTCTTTTTTACAGTGTGATCCATATGCCCACCTTTAAGAGATGGAGCCTTGGTTCCCCTTCCTTGAAACTGGGTGCACTCATCACTACGGGGGAAGTGAAGCTATGTGACTGCGATGAGTAAGTCACAGAAGGGGACATGCTTTCACCTGGTTCTTGGGACATTCACTCTGCCAACACAGCTACCAGCATGCCATGAAGTCTGAGCAGTCTAGAAGGAAGAACTGAGGTCACTGCCCAGCAACCCTGGCTGAACTTCAACCGCCAGCACCCAATTGCCAGCCATCGGAGCGGGCCATCTTGGGAAAGTGGAGAGGCCCCGGTCAAGAGACTCCAGATGACACTGAGTGGGGCAGAGAAGCAAAATAATCCACCATTACTGTGTTAAGCCACTAAAATTTGCAGCATTAAATAACTGAGATTCTGGAACCCCGAAATAGGGTGTTGTCATTAAAAAAAAAAAAAAATCTAAAATATGTGGCTTTATCACTGGGACCAGCTGGTGGGGAAGGGCTCTGAGGAGTCTGTTAGGGCTTAAAAGAAAGTTCTAAAATGTTACTAGAAGCTGGGGTTGGCGGGGGGGGGGGGGGGGGGAGGGGGGGGGGTGGCTGGGTGATAGACATTGGGGAGGGTATGTGCTATGGGGGGGGCTTTTATTAGTAGCAGAAAGTTTGGCAACACTGTCCCCTGCTGTAACATAGAAAAGTAGTAAATATATCCTAATGATCTAGTTAAGATTCTGCAGGCCCACTACTGGAGGGGCCACTGGCTCTCCTCACTGTGATAAAATGCAAGAAAGCAAAGATAAGCTGGCACCTGTAATTCAAGGGATGTAGCTACAATAATCCTATCATCCTCAAAAGGTACCTCCACAGGGCCTCTCCCAGGGAGAGATGAACTTTCTATGTCTAAACATCAGAGAGTTTTACTCGATTTGCTACTGATTTTTCTTCTCCTTAAGTGGCGTGTTGTGGCAATCTTTTACTATTCTGGGAGAATCTTATCTTTTAAAGAGCTCTTGACCATGTATAATCTGCAGAATGACCTTTAATGGGAGAGGCACATCTTAGTGGTTAAAAGCATTAAGTCTGGAGCAAGACGGCCCGGGTCTGACTCCTGGCCCCACCATTTACAATCCGTGTGATCTTGGGCAAGATCCTTAGCCTCCTGCCTCAGATTCCTCATCTATGAACCAAGGATAACAACACCTCCATCACAGGCTTTACAAGCATCAAAAAAGTTAATTTTGCTAAAGTGCTTATGGGTATAGTACCAGACACATAGTCAGGGCTATATAAGTATTTGGCGAATAAAGGCTAAAATAGTGATTTTTCAATACTTGTAAGGATAACGTTTGCTTCTCCTTCCCAGAAAAGTAGAGGGTGCTTCCTGGAAGTTGAGGTCTCCCCTCTTCCTGGTGTTAAGAGAGGAAGACAACTAGTTGGCAGCTTACAGCAAAGGAGCCACTTGGTAATCAGTTACGGGGAAACAGTCCCGGACAATTGATGGGACTGACACTGGGTATCACCACATGATTTAGGGCAGGCAGAGATGTAAGAACCTTAACCATATAAAAACCCGTACAGTGATGAAGTGAGGGGTGTCTTTAAGTTACTGCGCCGCCAATGGAGATAGGGACTCATCTTGCCATGCTGGAATGCGGACCGGGCGGCAGGCTTCACCAGGCAGGAGTGATAAGGACTACTCATTGCCATCCCTGCTATTTCTAAGACTGACTAAGGAGCTTTTTTTTTTTTTTCAGGAATATCATTTTAGGAACAGGAAATTATGATTGAAAAAGTACTTACTTTCTAGTCAACCCATCACTCAAAAAAGATTTACTGTGCGCCTCCTATGTACCCCCAATGCGCTACGCCATGGCTTAAAGGGGTGAGGGGAGAGAAGGCGGCAGAAGAAAAGGCAGAGAAAGAGAATAAAGAGAATGAAACCAAAAACACTCAACACACACGTGCACAACGTTTACTAGGTGTCGCAGAAAATTACTCCTACCCTGTTAAGTAACAACCGCCTTGTCCAAGGGATTGTAACAGGAGAGACCTGGGGGGATGGCTCACACAAGAGTATAATTTCAGGAATCATAAACACTTTGGGGGATGCAGGAACACTACCAGGTATTCACACTAACAAACTACAATGGGATTGCATAACAGTTCAAAGGGCTGTTAGTCTCTCCATTTGGTAAAGCAGCCCATCATTAGTAATAATTGGGCTGGTATAAAATAGGAAATCAGCTTTTGAAGGGTCTGGTCTAAGATAAATTACAAAACCAGGGCAGCGGCATAATTTAGAAAATTAAATATCCTAAACCACCTCCTTTTGA